GGAGAGGAGGAGAAGGAGGAAGAGTAAGAGTAGAAGGGGAGGAGGAGGAGAAGGAGGCAGGAGGGAGGGAGCAGCAGCAGCAGCTAAAGGGGGAGGGGGAGGAAAGGGGGTAGTGGGTGGGGAAGGTGGGGAGGGGAGGAGGGGATAGGATAATGGATGATCGTCAGAATCGCGTGACTATTACTGCCTCAATTAGCGACCATTCTTTTTCTCTCTTTCTCTCCTTTTTTTTTTAATCCTGTTTTGCTCTCCTCTCTTTCTCTCTCCTTCTTCCCCGTGACTTCCGCCCTAAGAAACCTCGCACGAACATTAAGCGATAAGATAAAGACCGGGAGTTGCTAAACGACCGCTTGATATGCAGGATGAGACCTCTTTGGCTGGATATGGAACATAGAAAGGTGCACATTTTTCTCAGAAGAAAGAAAGAATTATGGGAAATAGTGTTGGTTTTTGTTATTGTTCTAAGGAAACAGGGAAAAGAGCAAGAATTAATTATATTGACCTGCTGACAAGTGCATGCAAGAGCTTGCATTGACAATAAGATGAGGTGTAAGGGTGTTCTCTAAATCACCCACACACAGGGAGGGCACTGCCCAGGTAGCCTAGCCTGCTCATGACAGTTCCTCGGACACAGTATAGCCTTTTTTAAAACTACACGAACTTACATGTTCCAACAATGTAAGTACATCATAAGAGACTTCTTGGTGTTTCCTGAAGTTTTGTATTGGAACCAATAGAAAGCAGCGGTTAATGCGTAGAGCAAAATGAATGTCAAGATTGTTTAAAGCAGATCCAGCAAGGTATCAGCTAGAAACACCGAAACTTGTCAAGCTGTATAGCCGACCCGATTAAAGCGAAAGAGAAATCGTGATTGAAACAAACTTATGGTGTAAGTGGAGATTCCAATGTGTAGAATGAGAGCAAATAGTNAAATAACAGGTTTTCCCCAGTGAGATAGTGAGATAGGGTTGAGTGCCATAAGAGGTTTACATTTTCTTTACAGGAAATAACAGGTTTATTATCTAATACATTATTATTCTGGTAAACATAGTAAATCTGAAGCATTACTGTGATCAGTGTTACTCTTTGTTTGTTGGTTCTTTATATAGTCTTTCTGAGAGCTAGGCAATATCATTATATTTCTGTGGGTTGTGAATTATAGGTATTCCTACTAATATATTTTTTTCTTCCTATCATTTGTAATATCAAAATAATGAATTAATATTTTAGAAGAGTGATTCATTCAACAGTTGCTATTTATGTAGTAACTTAATATATGAATGTAGACTCTGTTATTTCAAAAAGTCTTCACCACAGAAATTGATCATGACGATGTTTTTCAGACCCAAAGTAGTGAAGCAGAACAACCAAAAGAGAGGTGTATTATGCACCCAGGGAGAACTTTTGTTGGAGGACCTGCCACCCATTGAGGATTTATATATATCAGTACCAGAAGAGCAAGCACATCCTATTGGTACTGTCTTTAGCATTGTTGAACAACAAGGTAAATATGTTTTTTTTTTTTTTTCTTTCTTTTTAGCTCAGACTTTTTCTTCATCCTCTGAGTCCCCACATCTCTTTCTAGACTTTTTGTTCCATCCTCCTTATTGTTTGATTTTCTTACTGTCTTTTCCCTTCCTGTTTTCCTTTTCCAATTTTTTTGAATTACTTTAAGCAAATGGTGGTAACTTATCTGTGCTTTCTCTTGTCTTACCCCCAGTGGTGGTCCAGGGCTTCCCCAATATCCCACCCATAGACCTGGACTCTGTGCTCTTCCTGGAAAAGGGACAGCGGGCTCTGGGACAGGTCTTTGATGTGTTTGGACCGGTGCAGGAACCGCTGTACGTGGTGCGCTTCAACTCCTCCGAGCACATCAAAGAGTTCAAGGTTAACAAGGGCGATCATGTCTACTTTGCCCCTACAACTGAACATACAAGCTTTGTTGTTGTGGATGAGTTGATGAGGTAGGTGTGGTATGTGCTATCATCATTGGCATCATCCTAGCTATGATTTTATAACTACTACAGTTTCATTATTTCTAGATGTAGTGTGCATTTAAGGTGTCTTATTACTGGCATAATTTTTTATCAGTGTTTATGCGGTCACTAATATAAGCTTTGTTAATTTTCTTTGATGATTTTATTCAGTTAGAGTACACTTTTAAAACTTTATTTGTTTTTATGTATTATGTATATTTTATGATTTTTCTTTCATATCTCTTCCTTACATTTTTCATAAACATTTTATCACTTCTGTCAATTGCTCTGAAAATGATGGTGTTCTGTTTAGATCCAGTGCAGTGTTCCATGAGGCTGATGAATTGTAATTTTTCATACCTAGAATGAAGGGAAGTGATGCTTCAGGGATGCAGAACAATGAACCTTTGCCGTCAGAACATGTAGACTTCTCCGACGATGAAGAAGAAGCAAGGGTCATTAGGGAGAGTCGGCAAAACAAGGTAATTATCCAGTTTTAATTTCCCCCCCTCCCCCCCAGCCATGGTTCCCTTCTTTTTAGCCTTTTGCTTGATTTATACCCCTTTTTTAAAAATAACCAGAAAACACTTGTACAGTTTTGAAACTTCCAGCAACTGTATCCAGCATTTAAAAATATGTTTAGATGTTTTTCTAGTATAGTTGAATACTAAAATATATAAATCTTAGTGTGGATATTGGAGGGAAAAAAATGAAATGGAAAAAAGAAAAAAAAAACAGCTGATCTTGACAAAACATTATTCAAAGTCCAAAAGAGTTCAAACTAGAATCTTGGTTGAAATCTCTTTAAGGAAATACCAATTTCCTTGCCTTACCTGCTCCTTACTTACACATTTATGAGTTGTGAAAGTGCGGGTAAATGGAGGAAAACAAATTGCATATTACCACAAGAAGTACCTGTTGTGGGTTGCTTCAAGAATCTGTAGCTTCAGCCTTGCCTTTCAGAGCATGAGACTAGGAATGGGGGGGAACATTAAGAAAGGCCTAGTGTATACAATATAATTAGAATTAGTGGTATTTCTTTACTATAGACTGTAAGTATTTTACATATGTGACTGGCTGATCAATGCTAAAATTTATATCTATCTTATTCATAGTATTTATTTACAACCCTGTCATGCAGTATTGCAGTGATGAATTTAATGTGTACTCTGAAGGATGACTGTAATTTCCCTAATGTCCATGTCAGTATATTATGCAATACTCATATCTTCTGTCTTGTTTACAGTACACATCAGGCACAGGCGAGTTTCAGTCACAAAAGAAACGCAGTCGTGGGCAAAATGCTGCAAAAGATAGCATGGAAGGAATGGGTCATGGGCCAAAGCCTGGTCAGGGTCGCGGAGAAAGCAGGAGCAATGGCCGTGGTCCTAACCCTTTCAGTGATATGAGAATGCCCATGAGACCCTCAAACCGCTTCTGCTACCCTCACCCAATGCAACCAAGGTTTGGACCTCGAGGACCTCCCCAGTTCCCCATGCGGCCTCCAGGACCAGTGCTAGGGCCCTCTGGCTTTGCAGGACCTCCTGATATGGGAATGGGCATGCATAACAACATGCATGGGCCTCCAGGTATGCCAGTGGAGCCTTTCTTGTATGATCCAAATACCCACACTCAGATGGACATGAGTGCAGGGCCTGTGATGGATGCTGAGGGATTCTCTGGTGGATTACCTCCACCCCCTGCAGCAACTTCTTGGCCACAGCCACCACAGTTCCAATTCGGGGGACCACCACAATTTGATGGTCCCAGGGGACCTGGCTGTTATCCTCCTCCACCACCTCCTCCCCCAGGTGTTACTGGGCCCTCAGGATATCACATCCCTCCAGGTCACTTCCAAAGCATGGGTCCCTCAAGGCCTATGAAACCTCCCTTCCAACATCCTCCAGCCTCAGGTGGCCCCACAATGGAGAATGGCGATGGAATGGGTGGCTGGGGCCCTCCATCTGGAGTGCCACGGCATCCCCCTCCCCCTCCCCACATAGCTAGCCAGCTGCCTCCTGCCCAGATACCCTTTGACAACTCTCAGGTACCTCCCCCACCCATGCATCCTCCTCCTCCTCGCAATGCCAATCCTCCTTGGAAGAAGTTTTAAATTATGTTGTTAATATTTTATTGATTTTGTGATAGGCTTCTATATTAGGGAAAAATATATTGGCAACAGGAACCCTGAGTTCAATAAAACCAAAAAACAAAAACAAAAAATGTTATGTATATTATTGCTATGTATATAAAAATACCTATGGATATAGATTTATTTTTCAGTATTTGCTTTGAATCTGTATTGCATCTGCAGTGATCAAAAAAACCTGATTACAGACATCCTCATTTTAGATATTGTGTTGCATTGTAGTTTTCAGACAAGCACATTGTTCAGAGCTACAATTTATGATCTCAGTTTTAGTTTAGTTACACATGAAAGATTTCAACAGTGATAGCTTTCTATCTTATTAATAGTTAAGTCGGAGGAGTTTGGCCGTAACAAGTTAAAGGATCATACACTTGTTTTGGCATCACGTTTTTCTTGTTATTAAATGAATATTTAATGTTATTCTGCTTTGTAATTCCATCAAATTTTATTAAAAACAGTGTAAGTAATCAGCCAACGTAAGAAAGTCCATCAAATCAAGATAGGGAAAGTATTATTGTTTTTAATTAAGAATTTGTTGTAGATCATTACATTGCATTGTCACAATGTAAAATTAATAAGAAACCATCATTCTCCATTTTCTATCCTTTTACCAATTTTGTTATACGTTTAAAATAATATTAGCTTCTGGTACTTAGCTCACTTTATCTTGTTAATATTTGTAAATACTTTGTCTAAGAATTAATAAAAAGAAAATTGTAGTTTTTCACTTTTATTAAACAGAAGCTTGAGTCTTTCAGAATTCCTCACAAACAAACTGTAAAGACTGTGACAAACCATAACTTAAAAAACTGCATTACTGGTGCAATTAATATTTCATATTATGGCATCAGTTGTCTGAAAGTAAAAATGCCCAACTTTCAAAGAATTCCTGAAATAAATATTACCACATGATAACTGAAAGATACTAAAAATTAAAAGATTCAACATGTAAAAAAAGATATTTACAAAATTGCCGTTTTCTTTAATGAATCCCGAATTTCTGTCCTTTAGTAAATGGAAATAAATGAGTTGATTTATACCAAATGTATATCCATCCAATTTCAATTATTCAAAGTAAATAATGGCATGTTTTAGAAAAAAAATAAACATTTGCCATTATTCATGAAGTATAATGCAGTAATATTTTTCATTGGGTTTGGTTTGTAAATAAAGGAAAATTATTTATAAATTAAGGGTTTTGATAAATAAATAAGTAAAGAATAAATACTGTACATTACACTAAAACTAAATAGCAGTTATGCAAACCAAGTTTAGAGCTTTTTGTGAATTTACATCGAATTTCTTTTAAAGAATTTTATATACACTCATTATGAGTGTTTACACTTTAAAATATGATATGAACTGAAAACAATACATAGAATGTATATAGAATGAATTACTTTTCTGTCATATGATGTAATCGGCACGCTTCGGTTAAATCTTTTATCTAAATCACATGTAAACGGATAAACATTAAGCCGAAGCGCGTCAATAGATGGTGTTCTTCATCCAAAACTTTTTTTTACATGTCACTCCGTTACAAATTGCATAATTTCCAATATGCAATAAATCAACTAGGCAAAAGTAGTTAGCTTATAATATGAATTCTCCGTAAAAAATGCTCTTAAACACAACACACATTCGCCCCCAAAAAAGGTATGTACACTTTTACACATTTCAACATTTCTTAACACGTTCAACGATTTAAAAAAAATGAAAACTCAACAGGCTTTATTAACCGTTAGTAGATCCAGGCATTGTCCACGTCCTTGCTGAAGAAGCTTGTGTGCGGCGTCTGCCCCCGTTCCGACCCTTACCGATACCAGCCGAGGAGGTACTGCAGCAGCGTCACCGTCTTGCGAACCGGGGCCGGGGTCGTCGTCGTCTTGGGCACGGGGCAGTCGGTCGCGTAGTCGAAGGAGAAGCGGAGTCGACGCGAGGCATTTTCCATGGTGCGAATCGATACCCTCTCCACGTCCCTGAAGCGTTCTGTTCGTGGAAAGTCATGGAGAGAATGGGTGTCAAGACTATGAAATTTCTGTTTGTTTCGAGATACTCCTTACCTCTGATTCCAATGATGAGAAATGAAGTAAGAAAAGAATATTTTATATTTAGAAGCGAATTATCTAAGGGATTTTGGAAATATACATGATTAAATTATGAACTGCTAGCTTGTCACTAATTCAGATGTTTTCTCTTTTTTTATCGAGAAAACAGGAAAAAAAGTATCTTACCATCCTCAAAATTTTTGTCCTCGAATACGGATTCGCCTCGAAGCCGACTTCCACAGATGATATTCTCGCGCACTTTGAGGAAGGCTCCTCCACATTCCTCCTCAGGAGTCAGAGGGATTATTTCATCCTCTGCTTCTGTTCCCTGGTCGTTACTTTCAGGTTCCTCAGCAACGGTCGGTTTGTCACCTTCAGCGTCCGTTTCCTTGTTCGGTTCTGTGGCTGCTTCGATGGCTTCTGTAACCGGGGCATTGTCGAGGTCTTCGGGTACCACGTCCATTGGTGCTTTATCGCCGTCTGTGGGCATGATGACTTCCACGATACCCGCCACATCGGCAGAAGGATCACCGTTCTGATCACCGACGTCCGTTCCGCCCTCTCCTGGCATAATGACTTCGACGACGGAGGCGACACTGTCCGTTTCCATTCCGATCTCATCCTCCATCGCAGCTGCGTCCTTGAGGGTGTTCTCTGCGGCGTTGCCCTCGGCAGCTGTAGTTCCAGCCGAGTCGCTTCCCTCCTCAGCGACACTCCCTTCGGCCCCTGGCATAATGACCTCCACGACTGACATGACCTGGTCGTCTTCCACTGCACCGACATCAGAACCCGCAGCGGCACCCTCATGCGTGGGCATCACCACCTCGACGACGCTCACGACGTCATCCGAGGCAAGGCTGGCTGCGTCTTCCACTCGAGTTCCTAAAGCAGCGTCGTTCTTGACCATGTTGTTGTTGTTGTTGTTGCTAGAGCCGAACCCGATGCCGGAACTGATGACGACCTCCGGAGGGACGAGGGGCGCCGCGGCGACTTCGCTCGGAGCCGGGTCGTCGTCGCTGAGGATGAGCCACTCCACCTGGTCCTGCGAGCCAGCCTCCTCTGCCGTCGGCGTGGTTGCAGCCGTGGTGGCGGTTGTATGCGGAGAAGCTGTGGTGGTAGTGGTTGTAGATGTGGTGGTAGTTGCTGGGGTGGTTGTAGAAGTTGTGGTGGTTGCTGGCGTGGTTGTAGAAGTTGTGGTGGTTGCTGGCGTGGTTGTAGAAGTTTGTGGTGGTGTGCCGTGGTTGTAGAAAGAAGTTGTGGTGGTTGCCTGGCGTGGTTGTAGAAGTTGTGGTGGTTGCTGGCGTGGTTGTAGAAGTTGTGGTGGTTG